AGGCTGAGTCAGCCTAGGCCAAGTTGGCAGAAAGTTGAGCTGATTTGACCTGGGCCAAAGGTTGAGTTGATTTGGCCAGACCAAGGTTCGAGAAGAGTCAAACCAAAGGTCGAGAGGAGTTCATTTCCTCGTAGTGTCTCACAACATGCTTTGTTTCCTTTTGTCTTTAGTTCACTCTAACATTTGGGGATCCAATCATCTTAAGTTTAATTTAGGATTTCAATATTTTTTAATTTTTATTGATGATTGTTCGAGGGTTACTTGGTTGTTTTTATTTATGCTATACTTGAAGGTTTACCTCCTAAATATGCTCTAGTAATATCTGTCATGAAAGCAAATTTGATAATCCTCGAGCTGCTAGTTGTTGAAGTAGAGGTGCTTCTTTGTCATGATTCTCGAGCTGTCCAATTTAATGACAAAATCTTCTCTCCTAGTCTTCACTATATATAGACCTCTCCTAATCCTGGACTTGGTTCTACTCATGGGCTTTGTACATATTGGTGTCCGATTTAATAACAAAATCTTCTCTCCTACTCTTTACTATATATAGACCTCTCCTAATCCTGGACTTGGTTCTACTCATGGGCTTTGTACATATTGGTGTCCGATTTAATAACAAAATCTTCTCTCCTACTCTTTACTATATATAGACCTCTCCTAATCCTGGACTTGGTTCTACTCATGGGCTTTGTACATAATAGTAACAAGCGGGGTGGAAGAGGTCGTGGCAGCATCATTTCTGGTCATCATGGTACTGGTCGAAGTTGTAGTGGACGCTTTGCAAGTTTTCAGTGCCAAATTTGTTTGATGCCATCCTTCCACACTGCAACCTGTCTAGTTCTCTTCAAATTCAAACATCAGTACTCCCAACACTTGGGTGATCCTCATTTAAATCAAGATACTTCTAGTGCTATGCTTGCTAATATGCCTTCTCAAGGTGGAGTACATATTCCTGATTCTGGTGCTTCCTTTCTTTTTACTGGGGAGCCACAATATATACATCAACTTGGAATTTTTGAAAGACTGGACAAGGTTTGCAGATTCATGGATCTTGGTTCTTCCTCCTTCAACTCAGATATTTGTTTTAGATTATTAATGTTCACTCTATTACCAAAAATTTATTGAGTTGGTCCTGATGGTCTTTACTCCTTCCCAAATCTTCATCTTCAAAGGTCTTCTGTTTGTCTGTCTTTTACAACAAATTCTCCTTCAATGGTCTTTTCTAACAGTGCTTCGAATTCTAGTTGTCATAGTCCTTGGCATGCTAGACATGGTCATCCTAGCTCTCGTGTTCTTAAACTTGTACTTAAATCAATGTCATATCCCTTCAATGAATAAAATATTGGAAAATCCTGTAGACTTCCTTCTTCTGCATAAACTGTTTATGCAACTCCTTTGGAAGTTATTTTTAGTGATCTTTGGGGGACGCTCATATACCTCACATTCTGGATACACTTATTTTGTCTCCTTTGTTGATGATGCATATTGCAAGTTCACATGGATTTAGTTTTTAAAATCTAAATCTGAAACCCCTAAAAGGGAGCTTTAGAAAAAGCTGTTTTGTTATCTTTCATAAACCTGCTTTTTGTTGTCTAGTGAATGTCTGTACATATCTGTTGTTGTCTTAAGTTGTATTGCTGCAAACCATATCTAAATTATTGTTTTATATGTATACTTAGTTTGGCTGAGTGAAAATTCGTTCAAGCTTATCATCCTATTCCTAGTCTTTAACTGCCACCTTAAAATTTGAAAGTGAAATTCAAATTCCTCTCCCGTTCATTTTGTATAGGGACTAAAAATCAAAAGTTTCAAATAATTGGAGATTATAATAATTAGAGATTCTTAAACAGGTTGGACCAGAATACGCTAGGTATTGTGGGACTGAGGCATTGGAGCCTCTAGGAATATATCTGCCCGGTGATATAAATTATCCTGGAGGAGCTTTGTTTGATCCCTTGAATCTGTCCAACGATCACGAAGCTTTTGAAGAGCTGAAGGTAAAAGAAATTAAAAATGGACGCTTGGCAATGGTTGCCTGGTTAGGCTTTTACGTGCAAGCAGCACTGACGGGTAAAGGTCCAGTTCAGAACCTTATTGATTTCATTTCGGATCCTTTCCACAACAACTTTCTGAACTCCCTCAACATTATGAAATTCGTCATATGATGTCGATAAGGAATTTACTTTCATTTGGATGCTCGTTTCTACGTTTTTGCTGACGGAAATCTTGTCAGAATGGTATAACCATCAGCCATGTACCCTTCGCAATCAATAGTCAAATCTCTGTACAAAAGAAACTATTCTAATATTTTGCTTGTTACTCTTTAGTTTTGGACAAATATAATCACGGAGATTTTTTAAATGTATTGTTAGATTTTATATTTTTATTTTATAAAATAAAGCCAATGTAAAATAATTTTATTAATGGTATGATGACAAGGTACAATTACCACCAGCTAGCTTGGTTGGACCAATTAGTACAATAGATTATATAAAATTTAAAAGCACAGCCAAAATAATTGCATTCATATAATGAAACACGAGTATTGCTTAGACATGAATGGAATGTATTCCCGTATTCCACGAGTATCGCTTGTAGATGAGTTGAATGGGAGAAATTGCACTTGCATAGCTACAATGCAACTACATAAAAATGATATTCCTTGCATTAACATTTGAAGACTTTTTTAGATACCGATTGTGTTACACAGTGTAAATTGATTATCAGCATGCTTGTAGAAAACTGTGGTGGCGCCAGCACATAATGATAAATTGTGATAATTTCTCCATCAACCTATGACACCTTTCCTAGTCCAAAACATTCCTCCATTGAGATTTGGCTCATCGCCACCATCATATCTTCCTTAATAATCTGTGCATTAGCCTGTAGACCTAAATGCCACTAAACAATATGCACAATATATCCAAGGCATCCACTTGTCAAAATACAACTAATTAACAATCTTCTTATATTAATATAATAATAATAAATATAAATAAACAATAAGATAACATGTAGTTGTAAAGGAATTGTTAACCATTTTTATTAAAATATTAATAATAAATATAAATAAACATTGAGATAAGATATATTTAGTAAAGAAATTGTTTAATAGTTGCATTTTGGAAATATACCACTATTCTCAGACAATAAAATAAAGATGATTTTTTTATCGAAAAATATTAGTTGTTAGTATTTTGTTAGTGTGAAGAGTTGAATCTACAGTCTTTTCTGTCATTTTTTTTCAATTTTTATTACTAAGCCAACCACTAATACAAAAATGGTTAATTTGTAGTAAAACTTCTTTACCTTTTAGTTTGAACATCAAAAGAAATTTATAAGATATACAAATTCAATATAATTGATTTTATCTAAAATTATTTCATTTATTAAGTTTTTATTAGATAAAGTAATTTAAATTTATTGAATTTTAATTTCTCATCTAAATAAAGTATTTTAATTAACACTAAATATAAATAATTATTTAAATATAAAATAATTGTTCATAATTTGAAAAAAAAATTAATATTGATCATTCTTTAATCAGTATTGGTTCATATTATTTTCAGTCAAAATTCACTAAGATTGTTTTAACTTATAATCAAGAACATTTTAATTTATATTGATGAAGTTTTTTTTATTATTCTTGATTAAAATTGTTTTCAATCGATATTAATTACAATTGTTTATATTGACATCAACTAAATTATTTTCATGATATTAGTTAAAATTTATCTTTATGGACTTTTCGATTGACATCAATTGAAAAATTACCCCATATGATACTGGCCAAAAATAATCTTATCCTAATATAATCTTGTTAAAGAGTTTTTCAATCGTACATGGAAAAAATATGTAACAAACTATTTATAAAAAGTAACATTAGAATTTACAATGAAAAAAGATAATCACGATAGATACTAAAAGAATAATTCTAACAGTCAATTGAAAAATTTAGCTCATGTTTATAAAAAAATTAAGATGAATGTTTAAGAAGGAATTATTTAGTCATAATTAATGTTGTGTTAGATAGTTCAACCATGTTTTCATTTAACTTTTGTATTTTGCTTGTGCTGTCAAATTGTGCTCACTTTATTAATGCTTTTAAAGGAAATTATGAATACGAAATTACATTAAAAGTGTTTCTACTCGTGTGGCATTAAAAATTGTAATAACTAAGACGTTTCAAAATAGTAAAATCAAATTACAAAATAATAAATAAAAAGATCAAAATAATTATCAAACCTATATTTTTAGTTTGTTGTTTAACAAATTCTCAAATTTATATGTTTTGCATATTGTTGTTACAGGGAAAGAGATATCCGTACAACACCAAAATGTTCTTGTAGGCTTTGCGTCCGAAGAATGATTTTATAATTTCCTTGCCGAGATGTATAGCAAGAAGTCGGGATGTATGCAAAAACATTCTGAAGTTAAAAGTTAATAAATAGTACATACACACAATAACTGCTATATGAAATAAAAAAATCAGTACATATAGATCGTAACTAGTATCCCATTTATAGTATTTTGATAGATCATTGACAAGATGAACCTAGACTAGATAGGTCATATCTAAGTTGAACAAGTTTAAAATGACCCTATCTCTCGTTCATATGCTACACATAATATCAAATTAAACACACTATTAATATATATAAATCAAATTAAGAAGACAAAGAGACGCCGATGAAAGGAATAAAATCGGTAACATTTACACGAAAAGACCAACCTAACATGAAAAGATCAAATTAAGAATTCATTACACCTGTAGAGTAGCTAAAATATGTTTAACCAAAATTTCATTACGAATATACACCTAGACCATAAGACGACTGACTAATTACATTCTCAAACTTATTCCCGCTTTTAGTAATGAAGGAAAATCCAAATCCAGTCAACAGATTTTTTAATTACCATGCTTACACCAATGAGCTAAAACGTTTGTGCGGAGTTTGTGGGCCCTATAGTCGAACAAATGCAGGTTCATACACTGCTCGTTGTTTAAAACCAAACTTCATTCACTTCAAACATTAATCTGAACTCGCTTGAAGAAAGAGACTACATTCGTTGATCAGTAAGATCGGGTCAAACACGATGGACAGAATCGGTTAGATCTAAGTTAGGTCATCCCATCTATTAGACAACCCCAAGTAAAGAATTTCTTTTTCTTTTTTTGAAACAAAGCTACAAATTAATACACAGATTACAGATAATCTGTTCTCAACTGATTAATTCTTAGTCATGCCAAATCACATTCGCTTTCCTTCTCGTAAGCTTCTTCCTCTCCTGTAGTCAATCTCAGCATCGGAGCACGATAACCCCATCTTATATTTCCTGCTAATTCTGGAAGATTCCATTTTTGAGAATATATCCTCATCATCTACAAGAGTAGGGTTCTCTGGTGTGCTGAACCCAGAGCTGTTGCTACCACCATGCCTTTGTGATTTATGACCTGACATGCAAGAAAAGGCATATTTGCTTACAGGTAGATAAAGAAAAGGGTACGAAAAAGTAGAACACAGAAAATCCCCATTTTTAAAATGTATAATCACCCTAACAAAATTACCCTCCATCTTTTCCTAATACGAAGATGACCAATGTCTTACATTGTTAACGGACAAAAAAATTATAACTTTATCCATCAAAAGTCAGTAGAGCACAGCACATGGCAGGGCACCAAGGCTCTAGTTATAGAAAAGTTATTATATATAATGTTGAAGCCAAATTGCAAGTAATTTAGAAGTGCTACTCTATTCTATTTTTCATTTCCATGGTTTCTCAAGATGCAATGAAACAAATTAATATTTAAACCTAGAATTTACAACATACCTTCATATCCTTGATATATGGTGGCCTGATTGTCTGCTTCCTTGCCTACTGGACCTGGATCTGAGCCAAGACTACTCCGCAATGCCACCTGAGTCTCCTGAGCTTTGAACCCTTTCATTAGTGAAGGCTCTATGTTTTCTTCCATTGTAGACTTGCCAGAGGCAAAGGGCATCATAGTAAATGAATCCTCCATTACATCAGAAATTTCCACATATTGAGAGGTAGTTATAATCTCATCTGCACTGAAACCAAACGATGCCCGGTAAGCTTCTATTTCTTCCACATCCTGCTTAGGACTTCTAGCATGCCTACTCTGATGTCCATTTCCACCAGTAGATTGAACATCTGAATCTTTTGAAACACTTAATCTCCCACCATTATGAGGAAATGGAGGATTTTGGTCCAAGTAGAATTGTGCATAGGTAGCAGGGCAAAAGAAATTTGTATCTTGGGATGCACTAGTGACACCATTTGTGTCATGCCCAGATACCCTCCCCGACCCTGTTCTCTGATATTTTCCATTCTCAGGAGACAATGATGAATCCCACTGTGGACGGAACTCCCGTTCAGGAAAAGAAGATGATAAACAGTCACCTGAGTTTCTTGATATTGGAGATATAAGGCTGCTGGCAGGACTTCCAGGGTAGAGTGAATATGTAGCTTGAAGATCATTTGCACTGATGTAGTTACCCTTATCACTGTTTTTGAGATCCACAGAAGATGAGAGAAAATGAGCAAAAGGTACATCTGGGGAAGAGGGAGTTGTTAAATGAGCCAACTCAGGTGGAGGAGTGAGAGGGGCAGTTGATGGTTCAGTAGTGAAGTTTGAGAAGACTGGAGGAGACACTAGCTGTGTTTCATGAGCGTATGGTCCTGTGGCATACATTGTAGATGAAGGACCACCAGGTGAGTTAGCAGATAAGGATAAGAAACAACTAGGTGATTGTGCAGTGGAAGGAAGGGCAGAATGAGTGAAGGATGCTGGTGAAGAAGGTGGGGCTAAGAGAGAAGGAGCTAGTCCTGTGGCTTGATTTGTCAACCCAACCACTTGAGGTCCATTTGGCTGAGAGGCTGGCCCGCTACTCTCCGGAATGCGAGATGCAGGCACAATGCGCTTTCCACCTTTCTGTGAACCAAAACAAGAAAATGCACCCCAGCATCCTCCCCATCTCTTTCGCTGTCAATGCAAGGGAAGCAATATAGACTTACACAAAGTTTAAAAGAGATTAATAACAAGTAAATCTGAAATGAAACAATAACTATTGAAAGTTCTTTCTGAAATTTTAAATATATAACAAGAATTCAACCTCTTAAACATCTTTATATCTTTTCACTGTTCCACATAAACATCAACAAATACTTCATATTATCACTTAACCTTTATGCATGCCATATAAAAAGCTTACAGTTAGCAATCAAAACATATGCTTTAGGGTCTAAATTTATATCTCTGAACTAAATTTTATGAAAACTGTAAAGGGACTTCTACATTAACATCCTATACATCACAAAGTTAAGTGACCAGCGTGCTTTTGGCACTTTGATTCTAGTAATCTCACTGTTAATTAATAGACAACAGTTTGACCTTTATATTTTTTAGGTGTTTTTAATGTATTTCTCCTTCAATATTTAGCATACAGTCCTATTATCCTGTAGTTTTGCCTTGACAGACCCGATCATAAAACTACAGCGTCACGAGGTTAACTACTTCACTCAGAAATTATAGTGCTTTCTAATGACAAGCTCCACTTCCAAGATTTTGACTTCACACAATGCTTTTTCATAACGAGCAAGCATCAAGTGCCACAATTGTGAGGCAGCAACCCATGAGTAATTTCTCATAATACACTGTAAAAGGTTTTGGCAGGAAAAAGAAGGCTATGGTCAATTATGCAGCAATGCAAGTTTATACAGTTCTTCAGTGCATTTCCTCAGAAATGAATGCCATATTCTCAAAGGTCACTCTACCTTTAATTTTGATATGGTATAGGATTTATCCTTTTACTTCTCTTACAATATAAACAGAGGGATTTGAAAACTTTTTGGTTTTTATAGCCATTTTTATTTTGGCTTGATACTTATCTGTTTCCTTTTCTCATTTCAGGATAATGCTTTTGTGCCTATAGATGCATATTGTCTTTGTTTCAATTAATACTCCATTCTTTTATCAAAAAGCAGAAGAGAGCATGAGATAAACAGAATCTATCCGGAATTCGTCTTAAAAATTGAAGGTCACTGGCCTAGCAATTAAAAATGCTTATCAATGAAGAAATGAGATCATAAAACATTTGGAATGGAAAAAAAAAGGACAATTAAAAGTTGCAGACCTGTAGAAAGAAATTTAAGAAAAGCTAGAATAAAGAAAAAAACATTGTCCTGAGTTTTCTCCCTTTGTTTCATTCTGGGAAGCAAATAGTATATGCTTAATCATATTTTATTCCTGGATCAACACAATCCTGTCCTATTTATTCCTCCAAATCTTATTGCAAAGGATTAACCTATTTCATTTCCACAAAATGTTCAATCCAAGTATCATAGGGTATGCAGAAATAAATGTCCATACTAAATATGAAGGAAATCCTAGATAGCAGTGCGAAGCAACTGACCTCAAAACCACTAATTCGGGATAAAGATAATGGGAGGGACGACAGCTATTCTAGATATTTGTATGACTATCATTTAGTCTATTATATTATATGTTATCCTTTATTGGGTTTTTCTATGACTATTGTCACTTGATTTACTATATTATTTTGATTACTGCTACTCTTTCTTTTATTGTATTACATATTATGCTTTATTTAGTTTATTATTGCTATTATTTTTCATTTATTATATTATATGTTACTATTCTAAATAACAAAAATATGAAAGTTAAACTAGACTCAAACTGGAGCCCAAAAAAGAAAAAACAAAGGGAGAAAAGAAACACGGAAAAACGTGTAGCCCACACGGCCCAATTTCACTAGTCAGCTCTCTGCTAGCTAAGTGTCACCCCCTGTGTCTGAACCTGAAACCCAATGGCACCGATCAAAGATGGAAGACTGGAAGGTTTAGGTAAATAGCTACAAAAGCAAGGTACCAGAGCTATCCAGCAAAGGGGCATGCAGCAAACAATGTCCAACAACAGGCCAAGTTGAGGAACCTGTCTGGCTTTCGATTTTCGGCACTGCTTCACAAATTGCAGACATAAAGATGCAAGATTTCCAAGTTTCCTTCACAAATAACAACTGTTTTTCCTAAATGCAAGAACCTATTGTGTCGCCCAGGCTAAGATTTTGCAAAAGTGTGCCCCCCATTCACTGTGATAGTGACACTATTGATTACATAGCATACTAAGTTTAGAGCACTGAAAGAAAACTCCGAACTTTTCAAGGTATGCTTATCCCAAAGGCTGATAGACACGAAAAGAAAAAGAGGCATAATGGAGTAAAAGATACATGTGATAATTGGATTACTTCATTTAAGGACAAATGACTGACAAAGATGAGGCAAGCTCAGGATAGGGAACTAAAAGAAAAACACATTACAAGGATACTTTGTTTTTTTTCATTTTTTGAAATACGGTATTATTAATGAGAAGGAAGAAAGAATTCAGAACAGTGGAGAATAAGCCCTACTCCTAAACAGAGGTGCAAGGAAAAACCAAGAAGAATCAGGCTCTACAAAATATTCATGTAGCTATTAAAGAAGGCTCCTTTATAGAGACCATAGGTCAATCAATAAAGGGTAAAAATAAACAATGTTATCAATTCTCAAATCTGATCAAGATCCTGAAAATAATTCTTGAAATATAAAAGCAGTTTATTCAAGCTAACTAAATAAAAAAGCACTATATTAAGCATAACCCCATAAATGCTTATCAAAAGAAACTGTATGAAACCGAGAGCCAGAACCCAGTATATTACCCAAAAAATAGCAAATAACTTATTTGAAATGACAGTGGCTTTTGGAAGATGTAAGGAAAACTGGGCAATCCTTCAGGAAGTTACGACTTATTCCTTAATCTTATAACTCCCCTAGTTCCACTCTTATCAAATTATGAAATTACAGTCAACATGTAGAATGATGTTGGACATGCAAATCAAATGTCACAAAAACAGCACAAGTTTTTAATATGATTTAGTTTACCAATTTGCAGAACTATTTGACATTATAAAGCTTTTATAGGACAAATATTCTCAGAAAATTTGAGATAGAGTGTGCATTTAAAAATAATTTTATGTTGCTGATAGCAAAATTAGTATCATAAAACTACTACGGGACTCTTCATCTTCTCACCCGTTCGTTCTAAAGTAATTATCTCAATAGCCATAATTTACAGTGGCCGACAAATTTACAGTCATTTAAGACTCATTCTACAAAAACATCAATTTAACTCTAATACTATTTTTCCTTTCTGTGAATGAGAATATGAAACTTATATTAAAATTGTATACAAGTAGTAAATAAATAATTATTTTAAAAGTATAGATTCTTCTAGCTTCAAGCTACATGATATAGTTGCTAATTAGGAACAAATATATATAAGAACCATATAACAGAACCCTTAAAGGTTATTTAATATTACAAATTTTACAATGACATATGCATAACAAAATACTCTTTAACACAACAATAATTCAACTCCAACTTCATAATAAAGCAAAGTATCAAACCACAATAATAAGGTCTGATAGTACATTAGAACTAAAAGATCAAACTACATCAATCACAAAATCATTTGTTCAAAAGTTGAAACAAAAGTTATTAAAGTGAAAATATTTAAAAAAAAGGAGTTAATTTCTTCAAATCATTTGGGCCTTGATAGACACTGTTACTTTGGGATAAAAAATTGTATTTACTTTCAAGCTAGCTTCTTCACTCAAAATTTGACGGGAGTTTATCTAGAAAGTTAGTTTGTTTACCCCTCGTAAAATTGTAACAGTTTGAGTTACTGTGAGAGTTTGACAACCTTATCCACGTGGGCAGTCCAGGCTATTAGGATATGACACAAACCTATACACATAAAGCGAAAAAGAAAAAGAAACAAAGAATCTACTGGTTGTTAAAAGGAAGAAGATAAAGCACAAATTCTATTTATTATATAAGACACAGGTATTCTTTCAATACCTACCAAAAGATAAAAACAAAACAATCTCAAATAGTTATTGATCGTAGGGGTTTATTTTCTTACTATATGCATATAAAAACATGAGAATCCTTCTGCTAACCGAATTCTCAGTAGTTTTTCAAAATCAAGGTTTACGTAACACAACATACATAAAGCAAGCGTGGATGTGATACTATGGATCTAGATTCTGAATGCAAAATTGAAATAAAATATAAAAAAAAAAAGGCCAATTACACCAAAAGAAGTAAAGTAAGCCGCCCTTCAAACTAGTTTATGGGGAAATATTTCTCTACAAAGCTTCTACTAAATGCTAAAAAGGGGCAGCTTTGAAAACTAATAATTCGGCCATCAGATCGGTCCAAGTTTAGCTCGGGCGGGTTTGAAATGATCGACTAGGTTTCTGGCCGTGGGGATTGTTTGTCGTCCATAATGTTCTCGAAGGCTAACATATGCAAGTACAACTAGAAGACGATACAGAAAAACAATGGCACCCAATAATGTAAACTAAGTTACTAACGCAATTATCGTAGTCTGAAGTGAGATCTGAGGAGGATGTGTCCTTTATAGAAAGAAAACAGCAATGAAAAAACATAAGAAGCGATCCCCAACAGAAAATGTACAAGTTTGGGGTTAGGTTATGTACTTGGGACCTCAGATCTAACCCCAAAAGCCCTTATCACACTGGCAAATAATCTACAAAGCATAAGTGTTGTGGTTTAGAAATGAAATTCATGAAGAGTAAATAGAAGGACACGTGAGATTGAGGGAGTGAGGAAGATACTCTTTCGTGCTGAGGAAATCGATTTTGCTCCGACCCCATTAGATAGTAGTAGCTGGGCTGTTTCTGTTGAACTCTACTAGGACTGTCGGGTGAGGCTGTTGGTTGTTTGTGTTGCTTGCGTTGAGGGCACTAGCTTAAACCAAGATCTTTCTCACATTTCTTCTCCAAAAGCTGAAACCCCATGGATTTCTAGCTTCTCTGTGTGAGGAGAGGGATGGGGAATATTAATTAATTTATGGCAACAATCAGAGGACAAGGAAAGACAAAAGTGAAAAAGATTGAAGTGTGTGTGATGAAGATAGAGAAAAAGCATGGAGGCCGGGCCAAGGGCTATACTTTATATTATTAACATTATTACTGGAAAATCACGCATACATTACTGTCCAGATGAAATTAAGAGTTTACTTATGCAAAGAATTTCATTTTATACCCATAAATAACTACAAAATCAACTTCAATTATATTAATTAATTGAACATCTTTTAAGATAAGATTGAAATGACAATGGAGAATGAAAATGATAAAAGTTGAAAAAGTTATAAATAAAAGGCTAAATAATATGAGAATTTATCAATTTTTTGTGTGTATTCAAATTCTATTTAAATATGTATGTCTCGCATATACAATTTAACAAAAAATTGCCATTCTCTTAAGAAATTTCTCACAATTTGAATATAAAATTAAACATGAGTATTTGTATAATTACTTTAAATAAATTCTATGAAACATCTTTGGAGCATCCGTCAAACCATTTTCTATATTAGAGAACAATCGTTTCATATAAATAATTTCCTGAACTCAACCAACTAAATTATCTTTATTTTTAATTTCAAATGTATGTGTCACTGGATATATTTTAAACGTTCAAGTTTGATGGTCCATTTTATTTATTTTGCAGTGTTAGAAAATAAATTTAAATTCAATTCAATTTTACAGAGAGAACTTCCGAGATTTATATTTATTTACATATTTTACTTTAATTATATTTTCAAAGATATAAAATCTCCAACGGTTATTTGAAAATATTAAGTGTTTATAAGGTTTCTAATCAACTAACATATTTAGCAGGTGGTGAATTAACCTCATACTTTAGGTCTTTAAAATTAGAGGAAGAGACTTTCAAAATAATGATGTTGTAACAAAAATAACGGGGCATAAACCCTTGGTATTATCAAAAGTTGTTCACTAAATCACATAAAGATGTTGGTTCATACTTTATTGGTATGCACTAAGAAAACTTTTCCCTTTTAGCACATCTTAATTAAAAAAATCTAATGGTCCATATGTGGTGGATTAAAGTGATAAGATGAATTATGAAAAAAATGTAAAGAAGAAAGAATGAAAAATAAAAGAGAAAAGGAATAAATGGCTATGGAAGAGTGTTTCAATATATTCTTAAACTCTTTTCTACTAGACTAAGCTCTCTAGTGTAAAAGTGATCAAATAACACAAATTTTATAATGATGCATTCCAATTTTTTAGATTATGTCTAGTTATTCTTAAGTAGTATGTTTAAAGATTTTACTAACCAAATTAATTATTATAAGCTAGTACATAAATCACTCTTACAAATACAAAAATCACTTTTAATTTTCATTAGTACATAAATCACTCTTAGTTAATAGTAAGTTGTCGTTGACATTATCAAACAAAATTCTAGACCAATTCTTACATGTTTTTTATAAAGGGGAGTGACCACGAAAACATTTTCAATTAATGAGAGTGACCACAAACAACATTGGAATGCATAATGGAAACCAAACTAGCAAAGGAAAACAGAGAAACCAAGAAAATGGGACAAAACAAAGAGAGAATGAAAACAAAACGAGAATAAATGAGAAGGAAATCTAAGGAGGGAAGTTGCGAGGGAGGTTGTGGGAAAGTTAGGGTTGAAGAAGGGTGCAACGGTAGAGTGCTATGGTTTATCCTTTAACATGCAACAAAGAAAGATAAAAAAATAGGTGAAAAGTAAAAACATTTTTACTTTGGTATAAATTATTTTAATTAAAGGTTAGATTTTTCATTTATAAAAGAATTTTAAAAAGTTGGAGGTGGAGGGAGAAATCAGTAAAGTGCAGGGAGAACGACTTTTTTTCCATAAAGAAAGACGTATTTTAAAATATCTTACTATTTCTAAGACATTAGGTTTAATAAACTATCATAAAACAACACATAATTGGAACATCAATTTCTATTACTAATCATTTATCTTTAGTTGAAACAACATTAAAGATCAGTATGTGGTGTGTTTTTTTATTAATATCACGTACAAGACAAACAAATATTGTCTCCCCTTACTTGAGATAATTGGCATCATATCTATAGAGTTGACCTTCTGAGCCGATTTTACATTATTATCAAGTGAATGCCAAAATAATTTCACTTAAGCATTGGAAAGTTTTAGAGGTTTATTTATGACATATGAGGACAAACCACACATGATTGTTACTGACAGAGACATTGCTTTAATGAATGTCATTGACAATGTATTTCTTAAAACTTATCATATGCTATGTCGATTTCACAATATGAAAAATGTGAAAGCCAAAATGCAAAATGTTAGTGGATTCTGTTGAAGCATGAGATGTGTTGATGGAAGCATTGGAAAATGTGATGGACTGTGAGGAGGAGCCATGTTTAATGCTTATGTTGATCGTCTTCAGTATATTTCTACTGCATGTCCTTTGTTTTTTGAATATGTTAATCACACTTGGATAATTTCGTGTAGGGCATACTTCGTTAAGGTGTGAGCGAATAGAGTTTTGCATTTAGGCAACACAACAACAATCAGGTAATTATTATTGTTATTTTCTTTACCTATTTATGTTTTGTGTTATGATATTATTAATGTCGTTTACATCAGGGTTAAGTCTATGCATGAAAACCTGAAGAGAGTATTAAGGACCAATATGGGAGACCTATGTACGTGTACTAACAACAACAACAACAAAATATATATAAAAGATAAAATCAAACTACTCATTACCAACTAAACTTTAAGTTATGTACTAGTTCAACCTTGTCATAAAGTAAATGTAACATGTTGTGTATAATGAGTCAACAGTGATGTGTCCTGTGGACTTCTTGGGAATCCTCCTACTTCATCTTCTTGTTTAGTAACATTCTCCTACTCAATAACATTCTTGTTGCTCTTCAATAACATGATGGTCCTCAGCAACATCAACATTACCTTTTTGAGTTCGTCCTCTATGAGCTGATGTCTTAGGTATTCTCCTTTCATCCTATGATAAACTTCCATCAGGTTGATGCACCTCTTGTTCTAGCTATACCCGTGAACCAAAATATTTAAAATTACAAAATAAAAATAAAAAAACCTACAAAATATAAAAAAAAATTCGTAAAACGGCCCAGAAAATTCAAATAAACAAAAAAAACAAAAGTTAAAAAAATGAAAACATATTTTGAATACTAGCAAAGGATTAAATGGCTCTCGAACCTACATTTGAAATTTGTTTAGTCCTTTGTCGACATTCAAAATTCACCGAAGCCTTAACTAGCATTCCAAATCCAATTAAGGCTTCGCCGACTTTCGAAAGCCAATTAA